TTTGTTGAATCCGTGTCTTCTGGTACCTGAAAAGATCTGGGCCTTGATAAATATCTAGTGTCTCCTCCTTACTACTATTTTTTCGGTATTGCCACTGCTATTAAATTGGAAGTTGATATTGGTTCTTGTAATATCTATTTATTGACTCCATTTGCCTTACTGCTAGACAAAATAACTGTATTCATTTCCCTTCCAGCGGGTAGATCACCTCTAATATGCTTAATTCCATCAGGTGTTGGGAATTTTAGCAACTAGTGATAGGTTGATGGAACAACTTTCATATCGTGGATCCACGACCTACCGAGAATCACGTTATACCCTATATCACCATCCACAACTTTAAATAATGTAGATTCCATTACATCTTCAGCATACGTAGGCAACATGATTTCTCCTCTAATATTCACACTTGTTAAATTGAATCCTGCCAAAAGCTTTATTGTCGAAACTGTGTTGACGGTTAGCTTTGCTTGCTCTAGGACTCTTAATTAAATAATATAGGCCGAACTGCCTGGATCAACCAACACATGCTTAATTTTAAAATCTAAAACATTTAAAAATATTGCTAGAGCATCATTGTGTGGTAAAGTTAAACTATCTGCATCTTCATCACTAAAAGTAATTTTATCATCCTCTAGTACTTCCGGGATCCTCTTTCCATGAGTGACCGATATCTTTATCTTTCTTGCAGTCGAAAATGTTACCCTATTCATCTAACTACTCCGAAAATCATGTTTATTGTGAGACGAGGAGACCATACTGCGTTCGCCAGTTTCGTTGTATCACGACCTTTACAGTAATTATTATTAGCTTGGTAACTTAAGAACTCTCTAAGATGATCATTTTCAGTAACATTGCTACCTCTTCATGAAGATGTCTACAGTCCCCAGTCCTATGACCGTATGTACCATGGAATTCAACCATAAACTAGGATCTCTTTGCCTAGGGTCCGATCAAATTAGTTTTGGGAACCTTGCTTCCTTTATGTTCGTTATGGCAGAATCAAACTCCATCAAGCTAATGTTGAATTATAATCTGATAACCGGGGATAGCTTGAATCCCCAGACCCCGATGGCTCTTTATCTTGCAAAGTCCTACTACTTCATCCATAATCAGTCCTCTTATTTGGTCCGGATCTTTCCAACAACTGATAACCTCTAATTACACATCCTTGACCAGCCCGCGAATCTGACCTTCGTTTGACACATACGGTTGAAAATGGCTCCTAGATGACCTCCGGTCTATATCGAGGTCATTCTTGGACCTTTCTAGATTTCGATCATGATTTCAACCTTTGAAAGACACCGGGGAGCCCAACTGATCGTCTTCAATCCTAATTTTTGATTCATAGCGGTTATGGACATTAGCTCATGTGGTTTCTTGAAATTCCAACAAACTCTCCTTCAACTTCCTTGAGGTATCAGAGCTTAAAGGATTATGACCCTTGGTAAATACTTTCACTGCTTATTCATCTGGTAATGCAGGCAATAACATTTTCTCCTTTTGAAACATGATCACGAACTCTCGTAGTAACTCTGAGTCTCCTTGAGCGATTCTAAAAATATCTGCGTTCCTAGCTTGAACTTTCCTCGCTCCAGCGTGAGATTTGATGAAAGAATTTGCAAGCATTTTAAAAGAGTCAATCAAGTATTCAAGTAAAAGTGAATACCATGTTAAATCCCCTTTCGTTAGGGTTTTGCCAAACTTCTTTAGTAAGATTGATTCGATCTCATATGGAGCCAAATTGTTTCCCTTCACAACTGTGTTGTAAGTTGTAATATGTTTATGTGGATCTGATGTTATGTCATATTTTGGAATATCCGACATCTTGAATCTATTTGGGATCAAACTTGGAGCCACGAACGACAATTGTATATACTTCTTTGAGTCCAGGCCCTTTAAGATCGGAGGTGCCCCTAAGACGTGATCCATCCGAGCGTAAAATTCCTTAGCATTCTGATGCATTTGAGCATTTATTTCTCTCATGCACCTCATGAGTTCGGTCTTGAAAGGATCGCCTACGTCGTTTTCATTTCCAAATCCACTGACTGCACTGACAGCTTAGTTGTTGTTCGATCTAAACTCCCCTCTGGAAGCGATGTTACTTGTTCCTGGTGCCATTTGATTTATAGGAGCACCAGGAGAGGCTCGAACTCCACTATTTGAATTATCTAAAGCCACCTATAATACTTGTTGAAACTCAGTCATTACCCATTCTTGTCTTGAGAAATGGTTCATAATTTTTCATTGTTGTGCTCTAAACTTTTATGGTATCAGCCACAGGCTCGTCAACCAAACCATAAGGAGTAGGACTCCTTTCACGTCGAGTATTTCTTTCCACCTGGCTCGAAGTTGAGTCATTCCCATCAATATGGGTTTCACTAGTTGAATCATCCTGTTGAGTCCCATCATGTAAATTGTCCACATGCTTGTTGTTGTTGTTCACTCACACCAACATTGAACAAGTTGTTGACATAATTGTGTGCCATAACTGTAGTATGCTTAAAACAGAAAAACTTTAAAGTACGTTAGTATAAGATGAGCAGATCAAAATAACACCATAATTATCTATGTCCCACGGTAGACGCCAAACTGTTTACCCGTAAAAAAGGTATAGTTGAACTTATAAACGTGATTTATAGATATGTGGATTAAGTTGATCTGATTAATTAAATAACAAAGAATAAATGAAATAAAATAAAGATAATTAAAGAAAAAATAAGCCTCAATTTCATATTGATCCCACCAGAACCAAGAGTAACTGAAAAATCTTGATAACAATCTTACGAAGCTTAAGTAAATGAGAGAAAGAATGATGGCCTTTGTAATCCTAGTATTTCATGTCCTTACATTGAATACAAATGTTGTTATTTATAGTTAAATCTATTAAGGAGACATGATCCTCGAATCACACCCTGTTAAAGATGAATAAAAATCGCTTTTTGAAGACTGTGTAATATTGGGAATAAATGCTCCTTTAATGCTACTCTCTCCGGCCGGTAACTTACTCTCAAATTCTTTTCCCCAACCTTTATGTCCTTCAAATTTACACAATATCGGTCACATGCTTGTATCCGGTATTAACTATCTACTGTCTCATCTCCACCCTGTCATCACTACAACCTATCTGTTTGAGAAACGTACATCTGTAAGCTACAAATTTTACCCAATACACATAGACAAGCTATGGGGTGGAGTCAAGAACAAGAATGTGCATTTAAATTTGCAAATGGAAAGAATGCCAAAGCTGTAACTTATAGAATGATGCTGGAGTTTTGATCTTTTTTTACAGGGAAGTAAGGAAGATAAGGAGGAGATAGAAGATAGTAGCTTAGCAGTTCTGTAGAGGTGAGCTTGCTGATCATCTCTAGGGATTGTTTGTTATGATTGTTATACTTTTTTCCTTTGGTAATTAAAAATTTACTTACCAAAAAAAGTATTTAAATGAATCCATATCGTTTTCGCTATCTATGGAGATACCTATTTATATGAAAAAGATCCATATATCTACCTAAAATACTTTATGATTTTATTCGTTCAATTATATTTCATGAATTTCTATTCATTGTTGTAGACTTGCAGTTACTCACTTAAATGTATCAGTCATAAAAGCATGTTTTAAATGGTATTAATTAATATTCCAACTTCAAATGGTGTTTGCAAAAAAAAAAAAAAAAAAAAAAAAAAAAAAAAAAAAAAAAGAGGGTAAACTGTCGAATTCTCATGTAATAGGGAGTAAACTAAGAGCAATCCATAATATACATTACTACTTCCTAGAAGTTGTAAATGATCAATCAACATATTTCATTGGTACAATTTCGCTTCTTTTTTTTTTTTTGACAATTTTCATTGAAAGAAATATGCCCATCACCTTTCTAAATAACATTTTTAAACATTGGTTTTCTAAAGCTGAAGGATGAAGGTGAATATGACGTTTAACTAGAAAAATGAAGGCGCATGAAACGTTGCAGCCTGCAGGTTTGGTTTGGAGTATTAAATGTGTTTTTGATTATGGAAAAAACAAATTAATTGATTGATTTTCAAGTACTCCTAACATTTTGTTATTGCAAGTAAAAATAGTTCTCATTACAAGAATCAAGCATTGATATGAGGTCATGGCTTTAGATAATAATACAAGCGGATTAGACGTACGTCACATGTAAGTGCAGAAGAGTTGAAGGGCGAACTTAGGGCTGTCAAATTTGGCCCAAATCCAAATGACCCGCCCAATCCGTCCAAGGTTGGGCTGGTTATTGACCCGCTCATTTATTGAACTCAGCACATCTTAACACAATTCATCGCAACTCATCTAAGTTGGCCTCATTTTTAGCCCAAATTGATCCAAGAGTTAACTTTGCCAAAATATCTTTAAAATAAATTTTTTTATTTGATATATTATATATGACCATAACAAATGAAAAAAAGTCTTATTTAATAATTATAATATTCATATTAAAATAACACATATTAAGTAAAACTTGATAAGAGTCTAGCGGGTTGGATTATGATCCAAATTTTAGCTCATTTTGACCTAGTCATCTTAGCCAAGTAATTTTTGGGCGGGTTAAATTTATTGTCTCAACCTTTTTGACTCTGTCCAAAATCGGCCCAGCCCACCCATTTGACATCCCTGGGCGAACCCATTATTTACCGTGTTTCAGATGTTACATCATTTGCCATATGAGATTTCACGGTTATGAAAAAATGATTATTGATCTAATTCTAATAACAATCAGTAAAAATAACTCAAACCAAGTAGGCTTTGTATACAAAAGTGTTGTACTACTACTCTAGATATGTTTGTTTCTTCTTGGTTTAACACAACGAAAGTTTTAAGGAAAGTTGAAATAATTAAAGCCAAACGGGAACATAGTAATATGACAAAAGATTTGGTTTGACATTTAAAAGGAAACAAATGTCAAAAAAGGGAGAAAAATCGGTCCAAGAGCAGTAATAATAATTTGATTCAAAATTTCAGTTTCATTTGTAAATATTTACAGTTATTTGCATTGATACGCGTCTAGAATAGAAGATATACAGAGTTTTGGATTCTTGATTCGCTCTTTCTCACTCTCCTAATATTCTCTGCCCTTTTTAACTAGGCTAGAAAAGGGTCCTCTGTTTCTCTTAAACTCCTTATACTCTGCCCTTTTTAACTAGTCTCCTAATATTCTCTGCCCTTTTTAACTAGGCTAGAAAAGGTTCCTCTGTTAACTCCTTATACTGAAGTAGCAACTAAAGGGTTCACTTTTATCAAAGGTATATTCCATAAAATTCACTCTTTAACTTCCTGGGTTGTCTCTGTTTCACTTCTTGGATTCAGTTTTCACATGCACTCAGTTGATCGTGATTATGTGCTTTTGTTATTGTTGTATTGGTTACACAACTACTGTTTGTTTGTATAGTTGTTTAGTATATTGTTGTGGTATCAAAGACTTGATTTTAGAAAAAAGTTTGACGCTTTGTTAGGGTTATGTTCATGCGGTCTTGAAACTGTATGATTTATACTTTTTGCTGTGTTAGTGCAAAAAAGAAAAGCAAAGTAACAAAAATAATGACTGATTCCAATTAAAACTAAAATCCTATTGAAGGGAAACAGTAGTGTTTTCTTAATCAATAAGAGTACGATAGCTTCAGAATTGTGATGATCATAGTCGGAGTATGCAGCGGCGCCCCAGGATTTTCACCCAAGGGGATTCAAAAACTTTAAAAAGTAAATAGGTGAAGATAAGCCAAGGAGATTCGACATCTAATATATATACATAAGGATTTTGACCTTGTATACGTCCGCCCCCCAACTCCCCCCATGGGAGTATGAGGGAACATTCCGTTTCTTAGGCAAAGGTGGATTTTGAATTTAACTTTGATGGGTTCAACCTTCAGAATTTTAGCGCTGAACTTATTGTACTTCAAAAGTATGGGTTTAGTTTTAATATTTGTTAAAACTTGATGTTTTATTCATTTTTATGTTTAAACTGTGTCAAAAACACTGGGTAGTACAATGGCTGCACCTGCTACTGATCTTAGGTTCATCAATACTTAGTAGAGAATGTACTCTAAGGGATCTTGGGGATTGTTTTGGCATTATATTAAATTGAACTTTTGTTATCTGCTTAGTATGTGACATATGGCTCTATTAAGGATTAAAAGTTGGCAACTTGAACACAAGACGGAAAAAGAAGTATGTATGGCCATATGTAGCACTTTGCATGTTGGCTGTTCTTTTCCTCCATGTTTAAGTTTAGTAATTCTTATACAGCTCTCCCTTTATAAATGTGAATTTGTATTGTGCACCTAGAGAACTACTTCTTGTATTTTTCAGCATTTTGGCTCATTCTTTTTGTTGACGGGAAGTAAACTTAGAATTTTGGAAAATCCATCGATTGGGCTTTTAAAAATGAAGGGCACATTGTTCAAATAGCAGGAGATGCATGACATATGGTCTATTGTAGATCATTCAGGAGTTATATTAATAAGAAACTGATATCTGAATATGTAATGGAACTTATATCGAGTGAAATGGATCTGTTTCCCAGTCACTATTACTCTTCTATCTTGTATTGTCTCCTGCTGTTTAGGCTGAATGTATCATCAAGTCCAGTGGACAGTTAAGTGCAAACAATTGCCTGAATGAACTGCCACTGCATACGTCGACCCTTCTAATTCCTTTCCTTTGTGATTCTTTTGGCATGAATTCCCTACTTCTTGCTGTCCTGTTTTTTATTCTGTTGTTCTGTCGATATCTCTCTTTAAGGACAATGGGGAGATTCATGTGCTTTTAGGTGGTGATTTCTACTAGAAATATGTAAATCTATCCCACTTCGAGTTGAGGAGAGGTTGAAAAAACAATACATAGATAAGAAATTCCTCACAGAAAAGCTGTTACACCAATGAGCTGATATTTTGAACATATTATAGAATGATTATGTATTTACACCAGTGATGTATTACTTCAGTTATACTTGTAAAATCATATTTGTAGCTCTTACAAGATGGCTGATGTTGAGGATATTCAACCACTTGTTGTTGACAATGGAACTGGAATGGTCAAGGTTAGTTAGCAAAAGGTGCTTGTAATTCTGTGTTACTCCTCATATGACTTATTAATGTACAATAACTGAGTTATTTGTTTCTTTAGGCTGGTTTTGCTGGGGATGATGCTCCAAGGGCTGTTTTTCCAAGTATAGTTGGTCGTCCTCGTTACACTGGCGTCATGGTTGGAATGGGACAAAAAGATGCCTATGTTGGTGATGAAGCTCAGTCTAAAAGAGGTATTTTGACTCTAAAATATCCGATTGAACACGGCATAGTAAGCAACTGGGATGATATGGAGAAAATATGGCATCACACATTTTACAATGAGCTCCGTGTTGCTCCCGAGGAGCATCCCCTTCTTCTGACAGAGGCACCGCTTAACCCTAAGGCAAACCGAGAGAAAATGACTGAAATCATGTTCGAGACATTCAATGTGCCAGCCATGTATGTCGCGATCCAGGCTGTTCTCTCTCTGTATGCTAGTGGTCGTACAACTGGTAAGCAGCAGAACGATTACCAATATTATAGTTCTTTATTGTTTTCTGTTACTAATTCATTTGTTGTTTTCAACAAGGCATTGTGCTTGACTCTGGTGATGGTGTGAGCCACACTGTCCCTATCTACGAGGGATATGCACTTCCCCATGCTATCTTGCGGTTAGATCTTGCTGGTCGTGATCTTACAGATTATCTCATGAAGATTCTCACGGAGAGAGGTTATTCATTTACCACTGCTGCTGAACGTGAGATTGTTCGTGATTTGAAGGAGAAGCTTGCATATGTTTCTCTGGTTTTTGAGCAGGAGCTTGAGACTTCAAAGAATAGCAAGGATGTCGAGAAGAGCTATGAGCTTCCAGATGGGCAAATAATCACAATTGGCGCGGAGAGGTTCCGCTGTCCTGAGGTCCTCTTCCAGCCATCATTTATCGGAATGGAAGCAGTTGGAATTCATGAAACAACCTACAACTCAATCATGAAGTGTGATGTGGATATTAGGAAAGATTTATATGGAAACGTTGTGCTTAGTGGTGGCTCAACTATGTTTCCAGGGATAACAGATCGTATGAACAAGGAAATCAGTGCTCTTGCTCCAAACAGCATGAAGATTAAGGTTGTTGCACCACCTGAGAGGAAGTACAGCGTCTGGATTGGAGGATCAATTCTAGCTTCCCTCAGTACTTTCCAACAAGTTAGTCTCTCCTTGCTTTATTTGACTGATCATTCATTCAATCAACTACGTCTTAGTCCCAAAATATTTGTTCTAATAGTGAATATCTTCTTCATAACTTCTTTAAGCCAAGCGCTTAGCACTAACTTCTACTTGTTGTGCAGATGTGGATAACAAAGGGCGAGTATGATGAATCTGGTCCTGCAATTGTCCACAGGAAGTGCTTCTAAGAGTGGTTTGTGAACTTAATTCCTCCTTAGTTTAATTTCATCTAACTAATGCTATTTGTCAGGGATCCGCTTCTCTTTTTGAAGTGATACCCAATCTTGCGAGCAGCATGATTTTAGTTTCTAGCTGCTCTGTTATCATATGCTATTTCAAGTGATTTGGCTAGTAAACCAAGAAAAGGTGGACTGATTGTGACTAATGTCTGTTCTATTGCTTTTCAGGTTATGGACAGTTGGTTATAGTTTTCTCGTAATCAGAGGTTTATCAGTTGTGTGGAATGTGAATTTCCTTGCCTTTGTTGAACAATATTTACAAGAATTATATTTAAGTCGTCGTAGGCTTTCCGTTCCAGGTTTTGGTAACAGAAGGGTAGTTCTATGTTTTAATGCTTTGGACTCTACATGGGTTGGGATTGCACTTTTTTTTAGCTTTGAAGATGTTGAAAAAAAAGCTGATGTTATCCAATTGAATGCGTAGATTCTTGCACATACTTATCTATTTTGAAATTAACTGCAAACCAGTTTTGAGGTGATATGAATGTGTGACATTATGGTTTGAGAATTCTATAGGCCAATGCAGTTTACTGTTGATAATTAACTACAAGCTTACTGTACAAATAGTAAAGTAAATTCAAGTTCTTATGCTCAAGAATCATTTATCCAATTGCCCGGCTGGTTGACATCATTCTACCATCTCGTCCTTGTCGATGCCTTCGCTAATTGTTCCTTTTTGTGTTAGTTATTTAGTCTTCTTTTTAATTCTCTTGCAACTGATAGACCTTTAAAGTACGTTTTGAGATGTCTTATGAGAATGTTAGACCATGGTCTATTTTTTTTTTTTAAGTTATTGCAAACATTAGTCTTTAATGTTTTGTGAGCAAACCAAAAATTACATGAGCAAATATTAGCCTCCAGTCTAACGTTGTTTGGAAGAGTTAATTTTTTCAATGGCTATATTTGCATAACTTTTAAAAATAGGGACAAAATTTAAACAATGGCCTAAAAAAAGGACTCTGTTGGCACCTATATTGGCGATTTAGAAATCAGAACCATTTACGGTACCTACTAATTTAATAGTATTTTACATCTAAATTTAAAAGGTTGTTACTGAAAAAAGACAACATCGGAACAACATGAGCTTAATCCATGTTTAGTTGTTTACATATACAAAGGCAAGCTTCAAAATAGATTGCCTCAATCTTCCAAATGAGAAATATGAGTTGGTAATCCAATGTTCTCACATTTACCATTGTGTCCAATTACTTTGCTTAATTCTACAAAAACTGACATAATGCACCTCCTTTCTTCAAGTTACTCGTCAACTTTGCAAAATTATACCAGTGGTAAAGTGTATCGTGTGTAATTATTTTCATCAGTATCCTCTAAAATTAAAGGATTGGTATGTATACCTTTTTTATCTTCTCGTGTTTTTGTTAATTTATGCCTTCTGATTTCTTGTTTCTCTATTCAACTTTAGCATCCCGTATTAAAATTTAAAAGAGAGAGGTTGTACTTTGGATTCCACCGATGTTTTTTTATTTTTTATTTTTTTTTTGCTAATGAAAGGAGAGACTTTATATTAAAAACATAGAAAGTTTAGTTATTACATAACATAGGATAGACCGCATAGCGATTTTTCCCGATTTGTCTTTATTAAAAACTTGTAAAATAAAGTCTGGAGGTGTTTCCCAACATAGTGTTATCTCCCTCCGTTGTTGTTTGTTGCTTGGAGCTTCCATACTTTGCCAGAGTGTCAGCTACAGAGTTGCCTTCCCGATATATATGGGTTATCGCTTCCACTCCAACAACATCAAGAAGAAAACTGCAATCATGAAAAAGATGTGAGTAGCGTGGTTGTTCATCTTTAAATAAGTTACATAATACCTGTGAATCTGATTCCACTATAGTGGAAAAGAATTTTTTTGTGAAGGAGAGTTCTAGTCCTGTTATTAGTGCCAGCAGTTCAGCATGAAGAGTTGCAGCTACCTTCTATGCAAAACCCTCTATCCAATTGCCAGTGTGGTCTCTGATGAGTCCACCAGTGCCACTGGTTTGTATGTTTTTGTCATAGGCTCCATCAATGTTTAGCTTGTAGTGGCTACTAGGTGGGAGCCATCTTATTGGTATGTGAAGCCCAGGATTTGATGTCACAGTAATCTGGGCGAGTGAAATGAATTCAGCAACTCGTGTAATGATTTTTTTGTGGCACGTTATGGATGAAGTATTGTTGAAGAGGTTTGAGTTCCTATTAATCCAGATGTTCCAAAGGATGAAAATACAGTAGGGTGGAGTTTGGAGTTTTAAAGGAGGCATTTGTTGTGTGGATGGTAGTTTCTTTGTGACACATATCCTTTATCCGGTGGACAAAGTTGTGTACTAGGGGTCTTTGTAGTTCTAACAAAGACCATATGTGGTAGGAGTTTTTGCATGAAAAGAATATGTGGTGTATATCCTCCACTACATTTGGACAGAATTGGCGATGGTTTTGTTTGGAGTATATTTTTTTTGAACAGGAAGTCTTTAGTAAGTAATTTGTGATGTACAAGTAGCCACATGAAAGATTTCAGCTTATTCAAACACTTAAGCTGCCAAAGCCAAGAGTTATTTGCAGCGTTGGATTGCGTTATTTGGTTGTTGATCTGGAGTTGGAGTAGATAGGCTGGCTTTGTGGTAAAGTTGCCAAGAGATGTTTGGTTCCAAAAAGATTGGTCAGGTTTGGTTATGAATGGGATGTAGATATTTTTAATTTAATGTACAATTTCAGGATGTAGGGTTAAGGATAATCTATCCAAATACCACGAATGATTTGTAAGGATTGATGACACTGTTTATTGTTCCTCCACATGTTGTAGAGGCCATTGTATTGAGTTGCGCAAACAGTTTTTATGAGGAATCCTGTTGTCGTTCCAAAGATCGATTATTTTTCTATCTCCTATATTCCAGGAAAGCCCTGTGCGGAATAGTACATTTGCTTTGGTCATGCTTTTCGATATGTATGAATCAGCAGGGTTAGCCTCATGTGTTCCTGCACGTCTATGTTGAACATATTTTGGTTGTAGAATTTTTACCCACAAGGATTGATTGCTCTTATGGAATCGCCGTAGTAACCCTGCTAGCATTGCATAATTCTTTTCACTGGTTTTATAAAGCCCCAGCCCTCCTAGCAATTTTGGCATTGTTACATTCTCCCAGTTAGCAAGGTGTACTTTCTTTTTCTCCGGAGTTGAACCCCACAGAAAAATTTCGTTGGATACGGTTTATGTGGTTCCTAGTGGAAGTTGGTAGTAAATTGTTTTGTAAGGAATAATTTGGTATAGAGGCTTGAGTGGATGAGAGTGGTTCTACCTGCCATGTTGAGAGATTTTGCTTTCCAGCCTAAAGGTTTGTTGTTCATTTTGTCAATTATGAATTGATAGTCTTTGCCTTTATGTCACGACCCAAAACCACATGACCGGCACCCGGCACACTACCTCCGAGCGAACCAAACTATGTGATGCATCCAAATCATATGCATGAAAACTAATTTAACTGCGGAATCTCCTTGAAAATCATATACATTTGTCAAGTTAAATGATAAAATATTTTTCAATTCAAAATCACACATGACGCCTTTCATGATAATTATAATGAGACTAAGTAAATAAATATATTTTCATGTATATCATGTACAACCCTGTTACTACAACCTGTCACAACTTTCTATGGAGCCTCTACACCAAAGAATAGAATTAAACACTTGGGCTAATACCCGACTAGCGTAAATTAAGAAATTTTATAAAAATAATGCATTAATATTTGATATAAAATGATAAAATTTTTTATCAATTCATGATACTTGTTATTTTAAATAAAAGCCAAGTGAAATATAACCCACAATATAAACTTTTAAAATATTTATATCAATCCAAGATTTTGGATAAAATCATATAAAATCATTTCATTTGCTTTAAGTCATTGAAATCACTTTCGGCTCCTTAAGCCTAAACATAAGAAAACCATCCTTACCTTTCACCGGGAGTACTATACCATCGCCGACATAAGAATGTCAACTAGGTTATGTACCTAGCGGCAAGTATCATATACCCTACTTGCTCAGGTCGTCTCATCGTAGTGTTGTACGAATCAACTCAGTCATTTTAATAATAGCACAAAATAGTATCCTCTCGAGGGAAAGCACTCTGCCGTAGTCTATACCACAAACTGGCCATCTACGCCTACACCGGCACGTGTAATTTCATGACGATGAACACAATATATCTGAAGTCGATCTCGATGAACACAAGTAACTCCCAAAATATTTAATACTTCAAAAATAGATTCATAGCATAGTAGTCTCAAAGAATCTATTTTTATCAAATCATAGCATTAATAAAAAAAATAATCTAAACCATTTGAACAAAAATTAAATAAATAACCTTTTGCATGTTAAATCCTTTAGCAATTTAACATCAATCTTTAAAAGAGATCATAAGTGTTATTCTACTCATCCATTTCCAAAAAGAATACTTTTCATAAAAACTTATCTTTAGCAGTCAAATATGTATACTCTTGTCAACACGAAAGATTTGATAAAAACCTATAACATTTATCTTGAGCGTCATTTTGTCAACAAGATTTAAATAAAATTTTATAAAATATCATGAAACTATATATGCAACATAATATTTTTGTATATGGAGACATCCGTACTTGTTTGTCCCCACAAGCATGAAAGCATATTTGCAAACAACTTAAGTATTAACTCTAAACATATTTTTAGAGAAAGTCCCTCAAGAAGAGTAAGTTTTAATCAACTTACCTCACTTTATTAACATTCATAAGCTTTCAATCTTCTTCCATTGTTTCAACATTGATTAAAATGCTCAAACATCACCAACAAGTCAATATCTACAATTAGATATTCTAATTACATCAAAATATAACCTATGATATTGATCAATATCCATATATGGCTCATAATTTGGCTACAAACCTCCAACATCTCAAATCGCCAAATAGATTTACATGCTAGACCATTCAACTTTATTCTTATATTTTAATACTCATTCTAAGTCATTAATGATACTACATTAATTGTCCAATGCCACCAAGTTACTATTCATCGTCTTCCATAATCAACACTTGCAAAATATATAATTCGGGTGATTACTTAGTTGATCACTTCCAACGTTTGCTAACAAATAAATCTATAGGTTCATTGTATTCATCAATTTCATCGCCAAGATTACTATTCATCTTTTCTCTTATTTTCTCAAAAGTACTATTCATGCCATAGACTAGAGTTTTATAATCCAATCTTTCAACCATTAAAACTTATAACAAATGCTTCAAATACTTCTAACTACTCATAATAAACAAGTTTGAAGTATTGGAATTACCTATTGTAGATCAATCTTGAAAAATCACAACTTCGGTGATTTTTGTGTTCTTGAGGATTTGATGATGAAATCTAGTATTTGGATGCAAGAATGATGTTAGAACTCCTGTATATTGAATAAGAATCAACCCAAAAAATCATTAGCAACTTACCTTA